ATCAGTCATGGTGAGTTCAGATACCAGTCCTGCTTCTCACTTTAAAGAGAGTCACCAGGAGGACAGATATATATATATTTGATTTAATCTTTGAGTTTTTATAAAACGATTCATTTCACATTTAGCAGATTGTATAACTTTTTAAGAAGTTTCACCGGACAGGCTGCTGGCTGGCACCCTATGACTCATGCCAGGGTTTGCCAAAGTCCCTCTTAACGCGCGGTCTGTTAAAGCACCTCTGGTTTCAGCTGGTGTTCCAAAGCCAGAGGTCTAAAAGTTAAAAAGTTGAGACTTTTTTTTTTTGGTCGATATCATTTCCTGTGAAACCCAAATGACCCGAGTTTGTATCATTGAATTAATCCCTGACGTGCTCAGAGGCAGGTGAAGAAAACAAATACACGGAGAGAAGGAGGACCATTACGCAGGTTGTCATGACATCACTATGGGCTGGCTATAAAGCGGTGAGGACTGATGCTCGGAGTTAGAAGAGCAGCTGAGGAGCCTTGGAGTAAAGGACGCACTCAATCTTATGTGTATCAGCTGACTGAAGCTGCCGTCCATCTTTCTGAGGCACAGAGGAATCCCTGGAAGAGTGCGAGACTTGACAATATGAACTTGTCCTACGTGGTTGCTTGTGGACTTTTGGTCACCCTGCTTTCAGAAAAGATGGAAGCAAAGCCTTTAACACAAGCACAGCAGAAGGTAAGCCACTTGTATCCTGAACAGAAACAGTGTGTGAAAGTGGAAGCTGAGTCCTGGGTGAACAGCTGGTTTGTGGTGCATGTGCTCAGGACTGTTATTTTACGCGTCATGTTTCACCATTTTAGTTGGATTTAACCACTCAGCAAATATATTTGTTTCCACATTAGACCTCTTACATTTCCCCACAAACTCCCTTTCTCCCTTATTAACCTTTTTATTATTATTATTATTCCTGCATAGAAAGAAAATGCTTTACTTTCACTGACAGTCATTTCATTTTATTCTCAAACATTATTTGCAACGTTTATCATTCACGAGAGCTGGAAAAAATGTCAACAAAAAAAAAAAAAAGTTTTGTAACATTTCATAGTCAACATAACTTTACAAGATCATCAGCTCTAACTTGCAAATTTTTCCACATGACTTTTCTCCCGAAATTTGCAAATATCTGACCGATTTTGCGCGTAAAACAGTGCGTAAAATTATACCCGAGCACGCGGAACTTGGTTTAAATAAAAAATACTTTCGGGATGTTACGCTGATTTCTTTGAAGTTTGAATCTAACCACTGCATTATTTGAGTCTCTTGCTGATTTCGCCAGAACCACTTCTGAACACAAATACCCCCCGGGGTTGTTCGTATTAATTGCCAAACACTTCCCCTCTTGCCCGACGTTCATTTGAATATTATGCTCTGTATCAAGTTCAGGCGTACCTCACGTATTGGTAAAATAAGTAGCTACTCTGTTCAAACAAGCACCTGAGGCAACTTTTTTTTTATTATTTATCAACCACATCTTTTTGCACAACATGCAAAGCATGAGATATGTATCCAACATGCTCTTGGGGATACAATGTTTATCTATTTTCTTTTAATCCCCCAGTCGCTCAGAAGTTTGCTGGGTGATGAGCTGGCAGAGTTTCTGGAGTCGGAGGAGCGGGAGAGGCGGATAGACTCCGTGCGCTCTCGGATGCGGTTACTGCGGGATTTACGCATGGACACCCGGGCCAGGGGGATGTGGGCTCGTCTCCTTAACGACCAGACCGCCACCAGGAGGCACAAGTCCGGGAGCAAGAAAGGGGGCTCCTCATCACGGAGTGGCTGCTTCGGACACAAGATGGACAGAATAGGAACCATCAGCGGAATGGGCTGTTAAGGAGCAGCTCAGCCATGGTGAGTTCAGATACCACTCCTGCTTCTCACTTTAAAGAGAGTCACCAGGAGGACATATACTGCATTATGAATAAAAGAAGTTGAAATAAAAAGATGAAATGAACGATAAATTGTTCATAAGACCAGAGAGAAAAGGAGAGGAGATGTTTTGGTAACACTTTTTATTGATAGATGGGAAGATGACCAAAAATTAACTTTTTTTTCATCACGTTAATTAGGAAAAAAATCTGCAGAAACGAGGGATAAAATGTGCACGATATGGAAAATATGTGGTTTTAATGCATTTATAGTTTGATTAAAGATTATTCAGTTTAGGTATGAGTGGCATGCAACACATGATGATGTAATAATCATGTTGTGTAATTTGAGGCAGAGTTGTAAGAAATCACATTCAGTGAAGGTCACTGAAGTGAATCCATCCCACAAACTGTAACACTTTATGTCTCAAATAACTGAAAGCATGAATCAACAGTAGTTTTATTTCCAAAAAGGAGAAACTCTTGTATAAAGCCTCCATGAACTGATGTAAAGTGAGACAATCGAGTGCACCTTTAAGAAGTCCACTCTTTGTGCTCCATGCACAATCCTGTCTGCTTCATCTGCAAAACAGCAGCATGCATCATGATTAGGAAGAAAAGACAAGGAGAAATGAAGGAGGAAGGAAGTGGGGGATGCAGACACACAAACACACACACATTTGTTCACTTTCTTGAAAACAGAGTGTGGTCAGGATCCTTCTGGAAAATACATTTTCTCAACCCGAGTGTTTTGACCAAAACAAGGACATGGCTGTGTTGGTGAATGAAGTCATGCGGAAGCTAGGTGACACACAATTAGTCCTAAGGGTTGTGGCCTTTTTGTGGTTGTGGTGAGCTGTAGAAGGCTAACGGTGATTTTGTGACTAACATGTGCAACTATGTTTCTCACTGGTCAACGTCCAGACATGTGAACGTTTGTGTTTTCTGTGGGTTTAAAGACGTCGAAATAATACTGAGAATGAAACTGATGAGAAATTATGAAAATGTCCAAGATGATGAGCTACTGATGAATCCATGAAACTCACAGAACGAGTAACGAGCCTTTGATAAGCAGTCTAAGTGTTTCTTCTTCGTCTTTTTTTCTAGATCTCTGGACGATGGGTTTGGACAACACAAGCTGAGTTTGTCGTCCCCTGAGGCAAAAGTGATGAGAATTTTGGTACGATCGTGACCACAACCAGCATTAACAAAGACTGAGATGCTACAAATCCTCATAAATATACATAGTAATTATGCAGGTAAATACACATAAATGTATACCACGCAGAATGGTCTACAGAATCGGACGCATTCTTCAAACATTGTGGGCAACGGTGTAAAAACGACAAACCACAAAGCTGTACATTGATGCTGCTGCTGTACCCTCGAGTACATCATCTCCCCCCTGCATAACTGTATTTATGTTTAAAAATATTTATATGTTTATAAAAAGAGATATTTATAAAAATGACTTTTATTTATGTAAAGTTTTGAAAATGGACTGCAGATGGATTCTGTTTGCTACCTTGTTTCTTTTGTCTTACACGGATGTAAATGTTTTAAAAAACTGATAAAAAGAACCTCTACGTGCACTTACATGCCTTTTACTGGGTGTCTGTTTCATTAAAGTTGGTCAATTTCAGTCACTGAACATTTTTAGTTGACTTAGATTTATTTGACATTAAAATGCCAAGCAAGAGGAAAATCAGTGTTTGTTTAGCAAGAATTGTTCTTACTTGTTTTATTCATGCATTCAGCCTTTGTGAGATACAAAATGATCATCAATTACCACTTGAATTATACAGATTCAAACCCTTAATCTACGTTTACAGGTACATCTAAAAATATATTAGAATATCGTGAAGAAGTTCAGATCCTGTCTCTGGTTCTGGCTTGACTTGAGGAATGCTACATTTGTTGCCCAGGTTTAGGATTCATCTGTCCATAGTCTGCATGAGTTTCCAATATGGGACTTTATCACAATTTTCAAATTTTCTGAAGCACTTTTTGGTTATTTTGTTCTCTGTAAGCCATAATCATCAAAATTACAAAAAATAAAGGCTTGAAATATTTCACTCTGTGTAACGAATCTATGAAATTTATGAGATACACTTTCTGAAGTGAGAGGGGCCTAAAGTAGTTTGGTAGTCATGCCGTGATCCTGTAATCCTGAGGTTGCGGGTTCGAGCCCACGTTGCATCAGGAAGGGCATCCGGCGTAAATCAATTGCCAAATCTTTCATGCAAATTTGCTCGCTGTGGCAACCAGCGAAGAAGGAAGCAGCCGGAAAAAAATGACTTTCTGAAGTGATTGACAAAATATATTGAACTTTTTCACCATATTCAATTTTTTTTAGATGTACCTGTAGATGCAACAATCTCATGCAATGGGGAGAGTTCGCATTCAGTTTTTGCAGATTTCTGTACTTTGATTTAAAACTCAACTTCTAAAAAACAAATCCAGTTTGTAGCCTGAAGTGTCGAGCACAGGCTATTTCATCACACAGCCGCCTAACAAGACTTCAGCTATTCATGCTTACGGCCAATTTCGTAGCATTGTTATTTCTAATGTATCAAAAGACCTGGAGCAATATCCAAAGAGAAAACGCAAAAACACGTGCAGGCAGAAGGAGAACATGCTAGAAGAAGTCTCAAACTCTTACTGCTGTGAGGTGAGAATAATAACGAATGCACCACTTTTTAAGTGCATACTTGTAACTCTTCAAAGCTTTAGCACTTTATGACATCTAAAAGAACAAATATGATGTTGTCAGATTTATAGTGCAGAAGAGATGGAGATGGAGATTAGCTTTACACGTTTTATTATAGTAATATGTAAAACTTGGATCCCGACCAAGGCCTTACTGCATCAGCTTCAAGTTATATGATGGTGGTAATGATAATAAATGTCTATATTTATGTGGTACTTTATCCTAAAGCTGAGTTTCTAAAGCAAGGTTGGGGGTGGGGGCAATAAAAGAAAACAATAGAGTAAAAAAAGCCACAAATATGCAAGATTGTTAAAAATATATAAGCAATTCAGAAAAGTACATGCAAACATATAAAGCAAATCTATAGAAGTGTGTTAGTGAGGAAAATGGGATAATGAATTAGTCATAAGTTTAAGAGAAAGGCTGTTTCACATGTGACAATTAGTGAAGTGATGGGAGGCTCTACTTTATGATGCCAGCAGAGTAAAACCTTAAAGAAATATCACGTAGATCAGCATTTATGACACCCCAAACAAATACTTTAAAGTCAGGATTATAATATGTTGAATAGCAAATTTATTTTAAGTTGCACTTAAGTTATAAACTATTTTTTTTCCTGTTGATTTAGTCATTTATTTATTTTAAGAAGATTATTTATATGCACCAGAACAAAAAAATAGTTTTGGACTCAAGTTTTACACAGTTTGCACTCACCCAGTCCTCCCACTAAAGTCCAATTTCTGATTAGTTTTAATATTATTGAAATGTCATACTGTGCTGTGGCAAACCATGATCATATTGTTGGAAATGTTCTTATATTGAAATTAAATATTTTGTCTTAAAACAAACTCTTTAAATTTGATTTTATTCATATTTTTTTATTTTTTTATTTTATATGATGTAATTTTAGTATGTGAACAAACACTTAAAACAGATTATAACACTTCAATTACCCCCCCAAAAAAACTTTGCAACTATTAATTCACTGCATGTTTTATTGCTGTGCAGCTGCACAGTGTAGATGATTTGTTAAAGTCTTACTGCTGCCCTGGTGAGAATTTATATTAAGCAGTAAAATGTTTAGCTCCATTAAATGCTGCCTCCACTAAAAATCGTTAACATATAGGGAACAGCATGATTTTATTACTTCAAATCCTAATATGAGCAATTCTGGGTGGTTGCCCAGGAATAATGTGTTTGCCTTCGATAAAGAAAGAAAACACCCCCTCTGGATGAGTCTGTTCGCCTCATTAATGCTTTCATATATATTGGATGCACAGAATTTAATCCTTCCCTGCAACACAGCAGAGGATAACAGGTGTGGGAGGATGTTGTTTCAGGAGGAAAATTGTTTTACACTGCAAATTCATCTGAGGCCCTCTAGTGGGGTTTAAAGAACCATGGAGTCTCCGCTGCACTGAAATGCCTTATTCTACCCTCTTCTTGGAAACATTTTAAAATCACACATATGAATGAGTAGATTTACACTGTTAAAAAAAAAGTACATTTTATGGTAAAATGCTGGCATATGTAGTTGTCAGAAAAGTACTGTAAAATTAGTAAAATATTTTCTTCTTTTACAGTTTTGAAGGTATTGTTATTGTAGATTTTACAGTTAAAAATGGTGCTGGAGTCAATGTTTTACTGTAGAATAAGATGCTTTAGAAAAACTATGTTTTTCCATAAAATCTGAAGTAAATTCTGGGATTTTATACAGAATAAAATTGCATTTTATTATATATTTTGATAGTTAATTCCACAAGGAGAAAAATGTTGGTTTATAGTACAAACTTTATTTTATAGGTTATTTTCATGTTCATTTAATTGGAAAAAACATCGGTGCTCCGGAGTGACCTCCTGCAATACAACATTTTTCAGTCAGGTCATCTGGACAGTTTCTTTTTTTGTGCAGAAACGTTTCGCCTTCGATCCGGAAGGCTTCATCAGTCAAGGAAACACACAACAAAACTGATTCTTCCCTCAACAGCTTACTCCAAAAGTGGAACAAACCAGATATGTTGATGCTAAGATGGCCTCTTTGTCACGCCCCCTCCTCCATAATGAGATGATCAGATGACCTGACTGAAAAATGTTGGATTGTATACCTGGATTATTGAGCATGGACTTGTTGATCTCATGCAATAGTTTTTGGATTCAGCATGGCAAAACAAAACAACAACTATTTACTTCTAAATGATGGTGTTCACTTCAGTGAACACCATCATTTATCAACACGTCAGTGTTCACATTCAGCCTGAAACAGAAAAACTCTTCAAAACGAAATAAAGTTAACTCCTATTAATGAAAGTGGCTGAAGCTGTGGATTTAAGCTGTAAAAAGCAATGCTGCCTCTGTGTGGTGTTGTGGGATAATTACTTATTTGCTGTTCACGTCTCCAGGGACTCAGCTGTCTGGCACAGATAGCAAATGTATGTTTAACTAAGATGAATGTTTATTCATGTTTGCCTAAAATGTCCTTAAAATAAATTTTCCCTTTAGTTCATAAACTGTGAAAAACAAAAAGCAATGCTTAGTGTATATTTAGACTTAGGACTACTTAATGTTTCTGCAATGTTCCAGTTTATTTATTTTTTTTAATCAAGGTCTTTTTATTATTTTGTTTTGCTTTTTAACACAAACACAACAGAAAGAACTGAGAACAACTTACAAAAAGAAAAAAAAAACTCAGACAAACCAAAAACATGCATGTTAGGCTGATTGGTAACTCTAAATTGTCTCTAGGTGTGAGTGAGAGAGTGGTGAGAATGGCCGTTTGTCTCTATGTGTCCCTGTGATTGACTGGAAACATGTCCAATGTGTCCCCCGCCTCTCACACATTGTCTGCTGGATATGGGCACCAGTGACCCTCATGACCCCAGTAGGAAGAAGTGGGTAAAAATAATGGATGGATGGATGAAATGATGTGTGTCTATGGGATAGTTCATGCATGGGCATGATTTATGGTTTTTATCCAATGTCACCAGACGGGCTCATAGTTAATATCTTATTTTTTTATTTTTTTAGCCATAAGACTTAAATTTGAAACACTTCCATCCATCAATTATCTTCCGCTTGTTCCGAAGTTGGGTTGCGGGGACAGCAGCTTGAGCAGGGAGGTCCAGACATCTCGTTCCATAGCCACCTCTTCCAGCTCTTCTGGGGGGACCCCAAGGCGTTCCTAGGCCAACCGAGAGTCTCTCCAGCTTGTTCTGGGTCTTCCCTGGGGTCTCCTCCCAGTCAGACATGCCCAAAGCACCTCCCTAAGGAGGCGTCCAGGGGGCATCCTTAACAGATGCCCAAACTAACTCAACTGGCTCATCTCGATGTGGAGGAGCAGCGGTTCTACTCCGAGTCTCTCCCGAATAACTGAACTTTTCACCCTATCTCTAAGGGAGAGTCCAGCTACTCTATGGAGGAATCTCATTTCAACTGCCTGTATCCGTGATCTCATTCTTTTGGTCACTACCCAGAGTTTGTGACCATAGGTGAGGGTAAGAACGTAGACTGACCGGTGTTGGGATTAAAATAACCTTGGAGGATAAATGGTGGAAAATAACATAATATGGATTGGTGAATACAAGGTTTAATTATCCATCCATCCATCCATTATCTTTACCCATTTATTCCATTTTGGGTCACGGGGGTCACCGGTGCCCATGTCCAGCAATCACTGTGCGAGGGGCGGGGTACACCCTGGACGGGTCACAAGTCCATCACAGGGCCACATAGAGACAAACGAGACAAACAACCATTCACTCTCACTCACACCTAGGGACAATTTAGAGTTACCAATCAGCCTCACATGCATGTTTTTGGTCTGCGGGAGGAAACCGGAGTACCCGGAGAAAACCCACGCATGCACGGAGAGAACATGCAAACTCCACCCAGAAGGCCTTTAATGATAAACAAAACATGAAAAAGGTTCTTCCTCAGGTAACTGAAGTTAAATTATACTCCACATCATTTGAGTATGTGTGGGAATTATAAAATAAGTAATGATGAGTAGCTTAATAGGTCAGAATGACTTTTGTAAGACTTGACCTGCCTCCCTCCACCCTCATTCGCCCCACTCTGGGCCCCTGATCAAGGCCCTTTACCCCCAACATCTGCTCCCTAAACAGGTCTCTCTTGAAATTGAGTTCTCGTGGCTCAATTAGACTACCTGAATAAATAAAGGATAAATTAAAACAAACAAAAAAGATAATGTAACAGGTTACAAGGGGATAATCAGAGTCTCACAGTCTTTGTAAGATTATGTGTGGCTTGGTGCTGATTATGGGTCATATACCCAGTGCAAAGAGAGGACAGCTAATGTGTGTCTGATAGATTAGACAGGGACTTCAGAGTCTATAAGGTGTTTATTGGACGGGAATTGAAAACAGGAAATGCCACTGGGTGGAGAAAACAGTCTATAAATGTTGAAAGAAAATTGAGACACGTCAGAATTGTACAGAAGGCCTCTGAATTCAGGTAATATAAAACAATTCTCTCTTGTTCACATATTTTGAAGTCTGTAAGAATAAAGATGTTGTTTAATTCTGACATGAACGTGTGTTCCTTTCGAGCAAACGATCCGAGCAGGGGAGAGGAGTAGAGATCTTTGTTTCCCTCTCACACCGGTAAACAGAGAGCTTTGTCTTACAGCTCAGCTCCCTCTTCACCTCAACAGACCGGTACAGAGTCCTCAATACTGCAGACGCTGCATCAATTCGTCTGTCAATCTCACACTCCATTCTTCCCATTCAAACAACACTTGAAATTCATAAAACTACATACCGGTATTTAGATAGTCTTTATTATACTTAAATTCAATTTAATCAAACAATGTTTGGAGCAAAATACTACAAATGAATATGATAGTTTGAGACCAAAGTGTCCAGGGGTGCCCAATACATTAGTTAACAATTTTCTTAGTTCATGTCTTAGATCTTATTACCGTTTTTCTTTTACATTTTTATTGTTACATGTAACTGGGACCCTGTGTACATAATTTTGTTCCACCACATGTATCACATGTGATGTGAATGACAAATAAAGACACTGACTCTCTGACTGATACGTTGATTGTGATCTACCGATCAATCGAAAATGTAATATGAGTAGATCGCATGGCATTAAAAATATAGATGTCAGCTTATTGACCATCCTCACTATATTTACCATAACATACCATTTTATTTATAGAGCACTTAAAACAGCGACAAGGCCAACCAAAGTGCTGTACAGACAGAACAACAGGTAACACACAAAGCAAAATACAAAATGAAGAAAATCAGAATATAGACGTAAAAACTATGCAGATAATGACGACAAACCAGTGTGGAGCATACAGGTTCAAAACACAGATCATCTGGTGTTGAAAGCTGCCGAATAGTAGTGGGTTTTTAAACGGGACTTGAAGACCGAGAGGGAGGGGGCCTGTCTGACAAGCAGAGGTAACTCGTTCCAAAGTCTTGGTCCTGCTACAGAGAAGGCCCTGTCACCTCTGCGCTTAAGATGAGTTCCTGGAACGGTGAGGAGGACATACGGTTGTAGCAGATCAGAGAGATGGGGGGGGGGGGGGGGGGAAAACTGTTTAGTGATTTGTAGACAAACAAATGTAGTCTTATAAGTAGCATACTCACATAGTTGACCAACCAGTTTGATGGTGATAAGATGGTTTCTGGAGTCTGCCCTCTCCCCTGCCAACTCATCTAAGGTAGCCATGGGTAGCAAGCAACTGTTTGTTTTTCTTCTTCTTCTTTAGTTATCCTCCAATTTAGCATTTGTAACCAATCTGACCAACATGTTGAATGACATTGATGTAGAGCTGCAAGGAAAAGACAAAACTGTGATTGATATGAGCAGCTCAGTGCAACATCTCTCCTTAAGGCTGCTACTCCATGATTTGGCAAACTTTCAAAAACCTCCCGGCAGACGCGAAGATGCAAGGGGAGGTGTGCATGCAACTTGACGGTGCACGCTGCACAGAGCAGAATGAGAACTGTCTGTCAGAGTTTGACAAACACTTTCAAGACTTGTTTTACTGGAGACACTCGCTGCATTCATGTGCCACCCTTCTCAGGAAGATGCTGAGGTTGCTTCACTGGCATCAAAGATTGAAATACTGTTTTCACCTAAACTTTTCTGGAGTATAGGATGAGATTTACACACTATACGCTGAGATTCATCTTAAGGCCAGGGCTCATGGACAGTTCTGGAACTTTCAGAGGAAAAGTACCCCAACATGAGGAAATGTGGTACCTCCTTTGCATTATTCATCTCCACTTATTTATGACACACATAGTACACACAGTCAGCCTTTTCCCACATGAAGATTATTAAGTCAAGTTAAGTCAATTTTATTTATTAATCACATTTAAAAACAGCAGCTGTGATAAAAAGTGCTTAACAATCAAAACCAATGGCAGTATTTCAATGAAAGAAAAAAAAGGGGGGGGGGGGGGGGCAGATCGTTCCAAAGTTTAGGGCCCACGACTGAAAAAGCTTGATCACCTCAGAAAATTATTAAGTCCAAATACCGTTCCATGACTGATCATTTGGAAGTGTGCTTGAAGCTGGCTTTCAGCAGCTACTGTCCAGATGCATCCCCGGCTGAATCCATTCCATGCAAGTCATCAGAGTAAGGTAATGACAAACAAATGTATTGCACAATATAGGTTCATCAATTATGCAAGTACATCAACATATATTGTACAAATAAAAAATACTTAATATGTTTATAAATAAGTATATGTTTTGTATTTTTATAGTATGTAGATCACGTTGACTTGGTCATTTTAAAAGAAGCCCTGTGATGGACTTGTGACCTGTCCAGGGTGTACCTCGCCCTTCGCACAATGATTGCCGGACATGGGTACAGGCGACCCCCGTGACCCAAAATGGAAGAAGAGGGTAAAAGATAATGGATGGATAGATGGATTTTAAAAGTAGCTTGCATGCTGAAAAAGAGTGGGCACTCCTGATCTAGGTCATGCAGGGCTATTCATCTAAATTGCTCAGGGGGGGCACAGTTACTGCAGCCAAGAGAAAATTATGTTATTTCCGCTATTACTATTATTTCCACTAAACGGGCTAGAAATCCAGGTTATTGTCATTCAATAAGTTTGTTTTATGGTTTAAAATCTAGTTTTATTTCAAAATGAACCCCGTTGACGTACCAAACCGAGTTCACCTGTGGGCCTGATTTGGCCACCGAGCCGCCAGTTGAATAGCCCTGATCTGGAGCATCCACTGATGTAGTTTTTATTTATTTATTTTTTTGCATTCAAGACACTTTGAGTCTTATCAGTGCTTTGACACAGATGGTAAATATTTATTACCTTCAGCTCGTGTTGATTTGTTTGTTTATTTATTTGTCCAAAAAGTGTCTGTTAAAGCTAAGGGAACAAGAAGATCACTGTGGATTTACATGCTGGGATCAGATTAGATTTCAACCACGTGTCTCGGAAGATAGATTATGGCAGCTGCCTGAACCACGTGCTCGAATCAACAGCTGCAGGAAGTAAAGAAACTTTGAACACTTGTCAGAATTTTCGATAAATTTCCGATGTTCAAACTTACAGATTTTTGACACATTATATAATTAAACATTGCTGTTTAAAGTAATAAATTAAAATAATGAAAAATAAATTAAAAAAACAATAAAAAAAACGTACGCAATGACATGACCGTGTCGTCATTTAAGAAAGTATATTCTGATGAACGGAAATAATGCATTTGTGTAGATTCCATTTAGTGGGCGAGGCGCGTGCACGATACAAACAAGTTAGTTTCTGATTGGTTGGGACAGTCGTGTGGGCGGGGCTGCGTCAGAGCGCGGAGCTGCAGAGAATCTGCTGCTTCGATCCCATCTGTCTTTCTGGTCCAATGTTCCACTGAGAAGCAGCAGACATATCCACGTGCCCGCCGTGACACATTTTGTGATTCGTCTCCAAATATTCAGATATTTGTGTTTCATTGAAACACACAACAGAAAATAACCATGGTGAAGTTAGCAAAGGTAAGGCGAATATCCGTCCATTTTACTGTTTCTTTGTGTGTGCGTACTAGAGGTAGAATTTAATCTGTTTACGCACGAGGCCTTAAGCAGAAGTTGCGTTCACGGAAGAATAAAAAAAAAACATTTATCACTTGTTTATACTCTATGCTGAAATGTCGGAATGGATGATTTTGTTTTAAATAATTTCGTGTCTTTCGAGAGCGTGGTCTATTTGCTCCCTAAACACGTTTTTGGTCGTGGTTTTTGTTTGTGGCACACTGCTCGTAGTTTGAGGCCTGACGTGGCCTGCTCACGCCAGACGACATTTTGAGGAAGCCTTTTAAACCATCCCGACGATAAGCACGGGTTTTGAAAGTACGCATAATGAATTATTAAATCTAAACTGCACTTAAAAAAATTCAGTTTTGAACTAAATGCGTTTTATCCAGTTTTACTCTGCAAAATATGACGTGCTAGTCTAAAGTTAGCATTAGCACGCTTCACATTTGAAGTGAAGTTTTCTTGTTTGCTCATCAGGGTTTGTGTTCCAACGAATCGTCTTTAGCAGTTTCTCGCTGCAAAGCGTTGAATACCTAAAACACAATTTAAGTAGCGGTTTCGTTTTTTTGTAAAGAAGCGCTAGCTTTAATGCTAGCTGGCTTGGCCTCATGAGCTCCACGTGGGTGGGCGCATGCTCTGAGTGACACACGCGGTGAACAACCAGAGCAGAGCAAAGTAAATGACGATGCACACAAGCGGATATCGGCTCATTAAAGTTAAATCACGGAATTATTTAATAAATAAATGAGAATTTTGTTAAAGTCCATACAGTAGAGGTAACTATATATATATATATATATATATATATATATATATATATATATATTATTTTATTTATTTTTTTTAACACACGGGTAAGTGTACTGGTGCATATAGTGTGGCATCTTGAAGCAAAATTTACACTTTGTCAAAGGCATGCAGTGTTTGTTTTAATGAAGATGCATTTTGTTACTTCAGGCAGCAAATCAGCAGGCACAGAAGAAAAAAGCTGCTCCACCACCTAAAAAAGTGGAGGAGGAATCTAGTGAAGAAGAAAGCAGTGAAGAAGAGGAGGTACAAATCATTAACATTATTTACTAATGTGAGATTTGGTATTTTGAATATAATAAAAAATGTTTTTAATTTTTATCTTGGATTTCAGGCTCCTCCACCTAAAAGTGCAAAGAAAGCAACTCCAAAAGCTGTGAAAAATGGCTCCATAACTAAAAAGGCAGAAAGTGATGACGATGAGTCTGGTAAGGGGCAACATTCTGAATCCATTTTGAAACTCAATTATGTTAAGTATATTAACATTTATATGTGAATGGGATGACACTGTTGAATGCTTCAAGTACAAAAGAAGCACCTGAATCTGCTTTTAAATGGCACAAATTTAAACTGTCATTGTACCTAAAACCATTGTACATATTTGATATTATTTATAATGTTTTTATTTTTATCTTGTATCATTTGTAGAAGAATCATCTGAAGAGGCACCACCACCAAAAAAGACGCCTGCTAAAGCAACACCTGCAAAAACAAAATCCAAACCCACACCTGCAAAGGCAGAAGAGTCTGATGATGACGACGAGGATGATGGTATGTAGTGATTTCAGAATTTTCTCTATTCTTATGTCAAAACTATTGAGATATTCCCACAAACAGTTCTGTTTGATGCACACCCTCTATTTCTTGGCATACATGAGGTTGATCAGTACTCATGCATGTAATGTACGGAGGAAAAGTAAAGACTGCGCTATGTCTTCGGTGCCGGTGTGTTTATTGTCTGCCGGTTCTATCCTCAAACGCTGTTACATTGTTTTTCATTATTGTGCAGCATAAGAGACTAATTTTAAATTGTTGGTTAGAATCATTTTGATTTTATGTTTCTTGTGTAGATGAGTCAGAAGAAGAGGCTCTGCCTCCCAAGAAAGCAACCAAGCCAGCTGCAAAGCCTCCAGCAAAGGTTCAGCCCGCAAAGGAGTCCGATGAAGATGATGACGATGAAGAGGACTCAGAAGAGGAAGCTCCTCCCCCTAAGAAGGCTACTCCTGGTAAGCCAGCTGCCAAAGCAGCAGCAAAGCCAGCTGCCAAAGCACCACAAGCTGAAGAGTCATCTGATGAAGAAGACGATGATGATGATGGTACGACTAGACCAGACCTTAAAATTGTCTTTAACTTGGAGCGTGACAATTGTCAAATCTTAACTTTTTATGATGATGTTTAAGGGACTTAATACTGATGTGTGATGTCACCTTTCATATATCTGACAGTTTACCTGCATGTGATCAAATTGTTTACATTTGGTCACAATGAATAACCATTGTTCCCTTGTTTCTGCTGCCCAGACTCTGAAGAGGAGATGGATACCACCCCAGCTCCAGCAACCACTAAGGCAAAGAAAGCAGGCATGGTCAAGGCTAAAGAAGAGTCTGAAGAGGAGGAAGATGATGATGACGATGAGGAGGAGGAAGATGAAGAGGGTGAGCTTTGTTTTAAAATTGTTTTTCTCTAAATCAAAACGGTGGAAAAAATTAGTATCTTAAAATGTTTTCTCTGGATAAGTGTGCATCCTTCCATTTGAGCAGTGATGCGGTGTATCACTTATACCAATTATTTTTTTTATGAAATTCTTCTTAAAATCCACATTTTTTTCCTTGGCATTTCAAGTTAAAATTTGACATTTGCATCACGTGGTACATGAGGTGGAATGAAATTGGGTACTCGAGGTCCCAATTACACCCAAAAATATCTAAAGAGACTGTATATAAGGATCTAAGATATACGCTAAATACTAATGATGTAAAATAATATGGTATATTTAACGGCAGCCCAAACATGAGTCTGTAGATGGGTATGAACGAATACAGCAGCATGGTTAAAATTATTTATTTATTTTTACCTGGTTTGAATTTTTTATTTTTTTATTTTTCAGATGTTATTCATTTCGCTGGTTTTATTTCCTGATTGTATTTTGAATTGTGTGAGCTGTGTTTTAATGTTGACTCTGTACAGCACAAGTCTGCTGTGGGTTGTAAAAGTGCTTTGCAATTTAAAATGGATTGCAGCATAAATTCGTTTATAAAACTAATTTCACTGATTTTGATCTGTTTTTCTTTTTTCATGTTAGATCTTCTACCAAACTGAACTAAATGTCTTTTTCTTGATCAGAACCTCCAGCAAAACCTGCAAAAAGAAAGGCTGAGACCAAAAAGGAAACACCCCCTGCCAAAAAATCAAAGTCTGATGGTGAAGGTAAGAAGAATTAGTGTTGTTGTTGTTGTTGTTGTTGTTGTTGTTGTTGTTGTTGTTGTTGTTGTTGTTGTTGTTGTTTGAATTAATCATTTTATTGTTGCGTTTCAAAAATAAAATAAATGTGCATTCCTGCTTTTAGGATTCTGTCTGTTTGTTGGAAACTTGAACCCAAACAAAGACTTTGATGAGCTCAAATCTGCACTGAGTAAATTCTTCTCAAAAAACGACCTTGAGACTGTTGAGGTTCGGCTTGGAGCATCAAGGTAAGTTGTTTTTGATGTTTCAGATTTGTCCACTACATGTTATTTCATCAGTGCAGTTGACTGCATTTGTACGACTGTTTTAAACCATCATGTGCTTTTTAGGAAATTCGGCTATGTGGACTTTGCATCTGAGGAAGACCTTAATAAGGCACTGGAGCTCAATGGGAAAAAAGTCATGGGTCAAGAGCTCAAGTTGGACAGGGCCCACAGCAAAGAGAATGCACAAGAGGGCAGAAAAGGTATTACTTTTACAAAGTTATAGATCCAAGTTTAAAAAGAAAATGGTGGCATCTTATCTGGTGCGTACACTCTTCAAAGTAGGTTAGATGTTGACAAAGTACTTCAACTGAAGAAAATGAGAATTATTCTAAGATACTGGCACTGTTTTCCACAGAGAGGGATACCCGAACACTGTTTGTGAAAAACCTTCCTTTTTCTGCAACTGCTGATGACCTGAAGGAATTGTTTGAAGATGCAGTTGACATCAGGTTACCTCAAGGACAAAATGGCTCCAACAGAGGGTAAGAGAATTCTACTCTACTATAGTGGCTTCTGAAAATAAAATAACTGAAGCAGTCTGAGCTCTGTGTGTGCAGTGGTGGTCACCGCTAACCAAAAGCTCAACCGCTAAGACGGCTCTGCAACCTGCAGCTCTTTCAAGCTTTGACCAAAACTGACATTATACTGAATTTTATTATTGCATCAACTAAAATGGCAAATTTTAGCAGTTTTCCTGTAATTTCTTTTGCAAATATGTGAATATGAGAAAATTACAAGGAGTAAAACATACTCACTTTCACGTTACTCCAAAGTAGGATACTTTTTCTACAATAATAATTAATAAACACACAGGCCTGCATAGTTTGTTTGTAGAAATCGAGCAAAACTATATATTTTTCCTTCTTTACAAGAATCTTGTCTATTTTGTCTTGAAATGTAAAAAATAATCTGTGTTAAAAATCATTAGATATTTTTAGCTGTATGTCACCCCCTACTGGTCAGAAAGCGCCTAATACAGTGTTCTGTGGGCCACCAGTTGAGAATCACAGTTGTAGCAGGTATTGTAGCTCTAGACACATTTAATGTTGTAGGGGGGGGAGAAGGGACAGAAATGGCTCTTGATCGTAAAGGCTGCAGACCCCGTGCTAAGACAACTGTCACTGTCCTTCCAGCTGAAGATGCATCAACAATCACGTCACATGTATATATGTAGTAAGGCAAGTGTGCCTAACGAATTCTTCAAGACACAACTGCAAGAAGAAAACCTCAACAGTACAAGTTGTTTGTCATATGCAGGTTAACACGACGTTAACAGCTTAAGATAAGAACTGATATGACTTGCAAAAAAAGAACAAACAAACAAGAAATAGTAAAAGCATACAATAAATGTAAACGTACCCAAAAAGGTACCAAAAAGTGAAAATATAATGTTTAAAATGTCTTTAAAGATGGATGGTTAACAACAACATGGTAGAATATAATGGTGCAGCAGAATGAATAAGTATAAATGAAGAATAAAAGTAACCTTTATTGAGCGCCATATAACAACAAAGTTGTCTCGGCACTTTACAGGAACGTTCACATACATAGAAAAAGCCATTTGGTAAAGTTCTCTATCTAAGGAATCTTTTTATGCCCTTTTTTCTTCCAGCATTGCCTATATCGAGTTCAAAAGTGAAGCTGAAGCGGAGAAGATGCTTGAAGAAACTCAAGGCGCTGATGTGCAGGGAAGGTCAATTATGGTTGACTATGTTGGAGAAAAGAGCCAAAAGGGGGCTAGGGTCTCTGGTAAGCTTCCTTTTGTCAAGCTGAGTCTTGTTTTTTTCTTTAAGACCTCAGTTTTATGTTCAGATTGTTGTCAGATGTCCTCTATAAAATCTTTATTCTTTTCTTAAGATGACCAATTTGCCTCCCCTGTCTTGTCTGACTGCTTTCTACTTTTCCGTCAGCCTCAGGAGCAGGACCTGCCAATAAAACACTGGTGGTAAACAATCTTGCCTTCAGTGCCACAGAAGAATCTCTACAGTCCGCCTTTGAGAAGGCAATCTCTATAAGGATTCCACAGAGGGACGGCAGACCTAAAGGGTACATTTACAAGTGTATTAAAACACATTCTATTGGAAACTTTAAAATTTGCGTTGATTTATTTTATAGTAGGCGCTTGTACGTTTCTTTAATATTTTTGTCTGCATGTGCTGTTTCTGTTCCCAGCTTTGCCTTTATAGAGTTTGAGAGCACGGATGATGCAAAGGAGGCTTTAGAAAACCTGAACAACACAGAAATTGAAGGACGAACAGTCAGACTAGAGTACAGCCAGAAGAGCACCGGTGGAAGAGATGGAGGTAGAGGAAATGTTCAATTTGTCTAGATTTTAGTCCAAAAAGGACCACTTGTGATGAAATGCATGAGATACTCTTGAAAGTACATGAAGATTCAAGATAGTCAAGTCCTGATCCGGTCTTAGAAGAGGCATTGTCATTTAATTTTAGTTTTTCTGTTCAAATGATACATTTTGTATGCCTTTTTCTCCACCAGGGCCGACAAAGACTCTTTTTGTGAAGGGTCTTTCTGAGGACACCACAGATCAAACCCTTAGGGACTCCTTCGATGGTGCTGTTGGAGCCAGGATAGTTACAGACAGGGATACTGGTTCATCCAAAGGGTACGCTTATTAAAAAATATTTGTCCCACACTGTCGATGCTTCTCGTGAGCACCGTTCTGTCTCTGCTGTGACATTGTACGGATTCTCATGAGAAGCAGAGCAAACTCGCAGTTAAACAGACGACTTCCATTGTGGACGTTGTTCATGTCTGATGTGAGACACAATTGATTTTTAGATACAAACTCTGAAATGGTTTAATACTTTAAAAATTAGGTTGGTCCAATAAAACCTGTTGTAAACTAGCTGGACTTTTATTTTTTTACGTGTTGTTGACTTTCTTTGACTTATTATTTTGTTTTGAAGTGAATTCTAACAAAGTACTCTCAACAGCTTTGGCTTTGTGGACTTTGACAACGAGGACGACTGCAAAGCAGCTAAGGAGGCGATGGAAGATGGTGAAATCGATGGCTGCAAAGTGACCCTGGACTATGCCAAGCCCAAGGGCGAGGGTGGCTTCCGTGGAGGGAGAGGAGGAGGCGGCGGTGGAGGCCGTGGTGGCTTTAGAGGAGGCCGCGGCGGGTTTGGTGGTCGCGGTGGAGGCAGAGGAGGTGGAGGACGTGGACGTGGAGGACGAGGTGGTTTTGGAGGCTTTGGAGGTAAGAATGAGTCGTGAATTGGGCAAAAGTTGAGGCTCGTTTGTTGCTTTCGTATTCATGGTGCGACATAAAATGTCATTCTCGTACTCTTGAAACAAATATTTTTGCTTATTGTTGCTTTATTTATTTTTATAATTCTGAGCATTAAACAGTTATTTTTGTTGTTCTAGGTGGACGAGGTGGTGGTGGTGGAGGATTTGGAGGAAGGCCCCAGGGAAAGAAAATCAAATTTGACGATTAAATCCTTGATGTATTTTTATGTTTTCAATGGACTCTGGTTTCATCAGTTTCAGAGCTTTTGGACATTCCAGAAAGCCTCGTTGGTATATTTATCTGTAAATGGGCATTTTTTTTAGCCCTTTATTTAGACCGTTCTCATCTCTACCTTCTTGTGCCAGAATGGTACCTCTGACCTTTTCACCTTTTAATGCTACATGTGAAAACTGAATGTCCCAAAAGCAAACGTGCGCCTCTTGCCCTCCTGTAGGGTCTTTTTTTCACAAGGAGTAAAATGGAATGGGTCTGGTAAGCAAGTTTGCTGTGAAAAGACAAGGTTCTTGTCGAGCGCATTGTGTAAATTTGAACTGTATGATTTCATTTTACCTTTTGTAAAAAGAATTTACACCTGTATCCATATTTTTGTTTTTATTTTGTCCTTTAGTTTCCTTTAGCCGTTTAGTTTTACTGTGCTGAATCGCATTTTGATAGTTCAACCTTCAGAGCTGTTTGTTGTTTGTCACGGTTTGGTGGAGCTGATGGAAAAACCTCTGTAACATAAAATGTTAGAGTGTATTGACTAATTGTTTTTGTCTTGTATCTCAAGATTTTCAAGATTAAATAAACCTCACAGGGGGTCATTTTTAATTTTGTCAAGTATGATCTGAGTGAGTTTAGGCGATGTCCTGACATCAATGTACTAGTATGGTCATTTGCTGTTTTTGTGGTTTTAAAGAGCACATTTTTTTATGTAACTAAAGGATTGGTTCACAAATCATTCGCTTAAAATTAAATTGTAGAGAAAAGTCAAGTTCAAACATTTACATCAAAAATAAAATGTGATTATGGTGGACTGAACTTATTTAATTAGTTTCCAAATGTATTGATTTGGCCACAAGATGGCGCACAATACAAATGTGGAATGTAACGTCGTGGTGCTTTAAAACTCGAGCTTAATGTCACCAGTCATTTTTGTACATTCGATGTGATTAACTTGAGTCAAAAATCAAAATGGCCTATTTGCAGGTATTCTCACCTTCTCTAGTAATAACAGATTTTCCAAAAAATTCGTAAAACAATTGGTCTAAAACTGACTGGGTGATCGACAAGTTGTTTGAAGCGTTTTTGTCATTTACAATTTTGATAGCTGTTTTTCTCATGTGGAAACAAATTTGAAAGGGACGTTGTCTCTTGCACCTACCTTCATGGTTCATGGACTCCCCTGACTTTGGCACACCAGCAGCCAGAGACATTGATGGCTCTGACATCTGAACAGGTCTTTGTTCGTCATGGTGCCTGCAGAGGCTGCATGATCACAATGAATGACTCCATTTAGAGGTTTGCTGCCTCCTGTCGGAGCACTCGGTGCTTGTGTTCACTTTGTGACATTGCTCGTCATCAAAAATGGCCTGTGTGCTTTGAATTCTTTCACCTGAAAATTTTTTTTTGCCGTTTTATTTTGTTGGGTGCTTTGCAATTGTCCTAAATCATACTTTGAACATATTTTTTTCATCATAAACCCAACAATAAACTGCCTGGTGCTGAAATTACGCTTTCTACACATTTTACTTTATTTCAAACAAGAAGAGCAAATCAGTCTGACTTGTTTAGTTTACTTATGCTGTGATACAATTTGTCCTAGTGCATGCTCAGTAATCCACGTGGATTAACAAGGTTGAGTCAGGTCCTCTGGATGCATTCTTATTGAAACGTTTCGTCTTTAGTCCAAAAGTCGTCTTCAGTCTGAGAAACTGCAGCAAACTCAGTCTTATAAATAGCACCACCTCAGTGGCTCAGCCAGTTTGCTGGTAACATCCAGAACTAGCAGAACCATCAGCCTAACAATTGATCGTTGGTGCCCTGATGGCAAGTGGCCATCAGGGCAAGCGATGCCACAGGTGATTGAGTGATACTAGCAATAACAGCATTGTAAGAGGGGAACAGTTGAACACGGAGGCCTCCACCCCTGTTTTATGATGGACGATTTTTTTTCACAAAGATGGCCGCCTCCTCCCTCTTACCAGCGTTCTCTATCAAGGATGTGAAGATCTTCATCCCTGAAAGAATGACCACTAGTTTACCTGTAGACCACAGAGTCCTGGCCTGATGATGGTGCCATCCTTTTGGCCAGTGGAAACAGCCCGTTCTGGATGTCACCAGCAAACTGATTGATCCACTATGAGAAGGTGCTATTTACAAGACTGAGTTTGTTGCAGCTCCTCAGACTGAAGAGGTCTTTTGGACAAAAGATGAAACATTTCAACAAAAAGGAATCCATCCAGAGAAACTGACTTAACCTTGTTAGACACAGAACATTTGTTCTTGCAACAATAAGTGGTTAAACCTTTAAATGGTGAACAGACTGTACTTGTATAGCACCTTTCTATCTTATCAAGACACTCAAAGCTCTTTACACTACAATCTGTGCTCTCGTCTACCCAGTCATACAGCACTCTACTAGATCTCTAACAAAGCTAATTGAACAAATCATTCTAAAGAGACTAACCAGTGCTTAAAACTGGTGGGACACAGAGAAGCAATGAGGGGTTCAGTGTCTTGCCCAGGGACACTTCAGCTTGTGACTGCTGGTGGATTCAAACCCTCAACTTTTGCATTGGAGAACAACTGCTCTAACCACTCAGCCTCAGCCACACTAATGCAATTTTCTGTTCTGATGAGAAAGTGTTTATTATATATTTAAAACGAATTATATAAAATGAATTAAAATATAAAATGATAAATATATACTCCGTAAGGTAGGTATGAATCAGATGCTTGACATAATTTTGAACTAAATACTGGGTCATTAATAGCAAACATTAGCACAACATATATATATATATATATATATATATATATATATATATATATATATAATGCCTTGCATTTTTCCACAGTGCAACATGAAATATATAACCACAAATATTTTTCACTGCAGCAATGTTTCCTTTTTCAACTTACTGAACATCACTTGGCATTTCTTATGTGCACAGTTTTCTCTCTGCACATACATGTCAATAGATTTAGCTACTACATTTTACTTGTTGAACTCATGCCTGTTATGGTGATCCACAAAAGATCCATCAAAGAAAATACCAATTCATTATGAAAGCTTGCGTCCTCATTCGGATGTAGCTGAGCAAGCTAACATCACAAACTTCCTTTAATTAGGGTCAGTATATACGAAGCTTGTGGTCTGAATGTAGAGGAGAATGGTTGTGTTGTCACATAAGTTTATTTGACAACTTTTAGCCTCTAAGACAAAGCTTTTAAGAATAAAAAAAATAAAAATCATTGTTCTTTCATCCATCCACACCAAAGCTTATGCGCTCATTAATCCAGGTATAAAATCCAACAATGTTCAGACAGGTCATCTGGATGGTTTCTTCTGCTTTCTTCTTCTGGACAAACATCAAAAAAAGAAAGCGTCCAGATGACCTGACTGAACATTGTTGGATTAGTAATAACATTTTTCATCCCTCTCTTCTGGCCATCTTCACTGCTTTGGTCCAACTATAGAGACACTGCTTATCTGTGTGCTGCAAAATGTCTGAGGAAGTCGTTTCACATGCTGCCATGAGACCTCCTTACACAGAAACATCTTGTAGCTTGCATTAATTTAAAATATAAGGTTATGATTTTCTTCCAACCCTACCTCTAGGATACCAACATCTTGGCCTTAAATCCACCCCCACCCTCACACAGCAGCTAATTCAAACCAAGACAATAATGGCAGCTTTACGTCCTTACTCATGCTGTTATGTTGTCTTTTGTTTCTTCTTTTTTGTTTTGCTTTGTCAGATCATCTTGCCAGGCTTGGAGACACATTAAATGGTAGGTGCATAATTTGTCAGGTCATATTAAACCAGCCACGCTGATAGACAATGCAACAATAGAGATAATTCAGCTCGCAGGCTTGACTTTGGCTCACCTAAATATTGTCTGTCCACAAAGGAGATATTTGAAGGAGATAAATGTTAACTTGTGCTTCTGTGTTAGCAAACGTGCCCACATGGAACACAATATAGAGAAGATCCAGTTTCTGCATGGCTCTGTTGTCTCTGAAAAGGACAGTTAAGAAAAACAGGAAGTTGTTTCATTCTTTATGTCTTTATGAGCAAGTCTAAATATAGAGGATCTTTACTGCACATCCGACAGTCTCAGACAGATTTTATACTGGGTACACTAACAAAAACAGTGTGAACAGTTATTACATCTGGTGCATTTGAAGCAGCTTTCTAAAATCTTGAACATTAGCCTACCAATGTTCTAGCTTTCATCATAAAATGGTATGCATACCAGCTAACGGTCTAATAAGGCAGACACTAAAAAGGAAATATAATTCAGTAAAATAAACAATAAACAGTTTGAAGCACATTATTTTGACTATATGAGATGCATTTGTTTTTCTAAATGTTTAGTTTAGTTATATACTTCCCCAAAAGCAACGTTTTACACTTAGGTTAACTGATCTAATCTGGATTATTCCCCAAGATTTTAGCAGATGACTATTCTCAACACGCCCATACACACACCCACACACACACACAAAGTTAATGTAGGACAGATTTTCAGAGACTGACTTGCGAACATGTTTATTTACAGATGTACATGTTGAATTTACACATATTTACAATTTTAAACATAGAGATACCCCACTACAGCCCCTGATATCCAGGGTTATTATCATTTAGAATTAAAATATGATGTTAATCTATGATCTTAAATAAAATTAAAGAACCCCAAAGTTCCCCCCCCCCTTTAATAGGAGGAATAAATTCACGTCACATCGCTAGTACCAGCAGTACATTTAATTCACAGTGTTAATGTAAACCCTTATCCAGATTCAAGTCAAGTATATACGCAAATTCAAATCCACAGACATGTGAGTAACAAGTATAAAGATACTTTTTAGGGTTTCCAGTAGGACACTTGAAGTAGCAAATCAAGTCATGTTTCCAAATAACGAGTGCAAGGACTGCTACAACTTAAGAAGTTTTAACATACAAAGCCCTCAACAACCTAGCTCCATCTTACATTCGAGATCTTGTTGTTCCATCTTTTCCTAACAGAACACTTTGCTCTCAGACTGAAGGTTTAATTGTGGTTCCTAGAGTTTCCAAAAGCAGAATGGGATGCAGAGTTGCTAGTTATCAGACTCCTCTCTAGTGCAACCAACTTCCTGTTTCTGTCCGTGAGGCTGACACCTTGTCTACTTTTAAAACTGGGCTCAAGTATTTCCTTTTTGATACATCCTATAGTTAGGGTTGGATTGGGTTTCCTGACCTATCCTTTAGTTATGCTACCAGGGTTGCCAGATAAGCAATAATGAACTATTGTACTGTTGCTTTAAAATTATAATATTTTGGCTTAAACTGTCACATATGCTGAGTGAAGTGATGAAGTAAGATGAGACACATGTTGTGTTTAGTGAACATGTGCACAGAATAGAGAAATGGAGGGGGTAAAAACAATTGTGTAAATCTGGCAACCCTGATGCTGACAAATTGGTCTCATTCCATCAAATGAATAGTGTGTAGTTGTAATTATTTCTGTCTTAACATTTATTTTTTATTTTTTTTGTCTTTCCTCCTTGTGAGGGACCTGCCTCCATTCATTCTGTCCGTTTCTCCTTCCTGTCCTCTTAAACCCCAGCTGGTCGAAGCAGATGGCTGCGTGTCCTGAGCCTGGTTCTGCTGGAGGTTTCTTCCTATTATGAGGGAGTTTTTCCTTTCTACTGTTGCCTTTGTGCTTGCTCAGGATGAGAGACTGCGATGAAATGAAGACTCAACGCAATCTGCTAGCTTCCTTCCTTAGATAGATAACTTTACTAAGTGGCATTAATAATGTCTGTGAATGATTTGTTCAGTGTCCTGAGATGACTTCTGTTGCGACTTGGTGCTATATACATTAACTGAATTGAATTGAATTAAAACAGACCGAGTTTTTGCTCTAATGAGGTAGAGGGCGTTATTATTTCCTCTAAAATGAAACCATTTGAAGTTGTGGCATCATACCAGTCATAACGGAAATCTTTGGTTTTTATAAAACCAAACTTATCTGATCTGTTCAAATGCAAACATTAAAAAGAACACAATTCTTATGGATCTGTTCTGTTGTCTTGAAATCTTACATGAAAATGTGAAGCCATGGGTTCAAAATCAGTTTTCAACACAATCTCTAAACCACATTAAAATATGGATATAAATGGTGGTTTATTCTGTTTGTTCATGAAACTGGATTTTTTCAGAACATTCCTGGAAAAGTTAAAGATTCTCACCAGCTCTGACCTCAGAATTAAATATGGCTAAGTTTAATAACGAAATTAATGGTTTATTTGTGCTTCTGTTAGGTTGCATCCCTTTGTATACTTGCAGACATTTAGTTGAAGAATTTGTTAGAGCACATGTCGCTACAGTGTTGGACCATAGAAAAATGCAGAGAAATACATTTTTATCACATTGTATTGCTGAGAATAGTTAGCCTGATCACTGAGCACAACAGTTAAAAAAAATCCCAACGTTTTCAGATTTGCAACTAATGGGATGTTCCCAGATCCAAGTTCCAACTTGGAAGAAGGTAAAATTACTGCTCTGATCCCAGTAAAGGGGAAAAGTGGATAAATAGTTGTTTTTTTTTTTTTGGTGTGCTCATTGATAGCAGCTCCACTTGGCTGCTTTCTCTGAATCTGAGTGCTGACACTGAAAGTTTTTCAAACTTTACATAAATACACGACTCCAAATAAAGAAAGATGTTCATAGTTTACTTTTGAGGAAAGCCCCCTGAAACTCACATTGCTTCTCAGAATCAGCAATTAAAAGTGGGTTACTGTCTCTCTCCACATAAAGGAGAGTTGACTTGGACGTTAGCATTTGGCTCTCCTGCATCGTACTGCACTTCCTGTTGGCACCCACTCCTATAAATCTCAGCTTGTGAGTTTTGTCCTAAAGCTATAGAAGATCCACTTTCTGTGAGCAGGCCAGGTCACTGTTGGCCAGATTCCACATGTGCAAGAGGTCCGATGGGAGCAGTTTGTGCACTACTATCATGCTTTTAAAGAAACAAGGTTCTCGATTCAGTTTGCTGTTCTTGTTTTTCACCAAGCCAAACGTTTTAAAGGCGTAGTGTTTTATAGGCACGACCTGCAGCACCTCAAGACACATGCCCAGGAAGACATCATCAATGGGGTAAAGCTCAAGAGTTTCTGAAGCATAGTGGAGCCTCCTGACCAGCGTCCCGTCCATCAGAAACCCCCCTCCCCCAGCATATGGAGGGTAGTATGTTTGATTATACAAAGCGTGAGGGATGTAATATTTGTTGTCCTTGTTACGAATGGGCTTAGCCTTGAAAATCACATCCCCCACAAACAAGTTCTTATCGTGGCTGCTGCTTTCCAAAAACTCAAAGATGTTCTTCACACCGACAAAGACGTCGTCATCCCCCTTGAAGACGTAGTGGACTCTGGAGCAGTAAGTGTGGAACCACTTGAGAAAATGAGTCTCCTTGAGAGTCAGATTGAAGAAACTGTCTAAGAAGTCCCACTGAAGAATATCCCCGTATATATGGTCTTCATACTCCACAAGCTTCTGGTGGTTTGCTCTTTCTGCGTCATTAGCGGGCTTGCCAAGCAGGAAGAGAGTCTTGATTCTTTTGCCATTCACCACCCGCTCTTTGCCCCATGTTTTGCGAATAACCTCTCTACGGTCGTGCTGGGTGGCCACTGATTTAATCACCATGAGCAGATTGATCTCCCCCGAGCACTTCTCTGGGTGATTGAGAAGCATGGGGAAAAGACGACAGTGTCGATAAAGCATAAACTGTTTGAAGTTTCCCTCCAGGCCGCTGAACCACGCCTGGCTCGAGAGGTTGAGGTTGGCGCTACAGTTGGAGCTGGTCACATCCCAGTTACGGGGACTGTTTTCCTTTGTGACGTTGGGCTCCTGTGTGGTGGTCTGAGCTTTAGGCTGCTGTTTCTGGCTGCCAAACTTCCAGAAGCTTTTCATCCCCAGGTATGAGTAGAGTTTCTCCCCCTGGATGGCTCTGGGCTCAACTCCTTGAGAAGGGTCCATGCGAGTCAGCCTCTCAAGTTCGAAGGGGAGCCCCGTACTGACGCTCCCCTTCTGGAAAATAGTCAGCGCTACCACAGCCAGGAAGAACATGACAATCACCCGCTTATACACTCTGCAGCGATCTCTGGTGTTCATCCTAGGAAAAGAGACAAAACAGATCATGCTAGTCAGGTGGAGAATCATTTTCTAGGAAAAGGCTAAATGTTGGAAAGTGTCAAACACTTAACTTTCTTTTTTCTTTTTGTACTTTGTAAATAAACTATGGTTTAAGCATAAAAGTAAAAAGCAAAAATTACACATTTATGATTTACTGTCACATGTAGAATGTCGTGTTTAAATTATTCAGAAAGTAGCAATTACAGTTTATGGAACTGACTAGAAGAATGATGGAGATGTTTAGAGGACCCCTAAACTACAGATAAAGAAAAACCCTGGAAATATTACTAGAATTTAAAAAAAAAAGTTTTCTTTGTAACTCGTTAGTGTCAATTTAGTGTCACACAAACAGGCAACAACAAAACACAAAAGAAGAAAAAATCTTCAAAAACTTCGTTTTATACACATTTTCCCTTTTGCCCCACAGCACAGTGGATACTAATGTATCTGTTTATTAGATAGAACAAGTGGAATGCACTACAGGTTCTCACATTTCTATAAAGTCATGCCCCTACTTGTTTTATCAGGACCACCGAGACACTCTCATAAGAGACCCCATCTGCCTGACTTTTTATTAAAACATGAGAAGATGATCTATAGTTTTCTTTAAATGTACAATAGATGTAACTGATGACAATAAAAAATGATAAATTTCTTGCATCAGTGATCCATTAAGGCATCTTATCTGGGTGTGCACCATATCTTGAAATAAATACATGACAAGATAATTAGATATATCTTTACTCACAACACCGTTTAATAATAATAAAAAAAGTTAAATATCTGAATCAAGAATCAAACTTGAGATTAAAGCACCTGTTCACCCTGTTGTGTCCCATTTTTCATGATGCTCTTCAGTTTGATCACAACTCTCAATGAGTTAATTGGATTAATCATTATCTCAAGTAAATAATGTTGTTAATAAATACTTGCAGTTAAGAAATGAGCTGCCGATTCACGTAGGTGATGGCTAAAATTATCTGAACTGTAAGCTACAGTTATAGAAAAACTAGCCACAGTAAATGCCAAAGGAAGCAAAATTGTTGCTCAAAGCTCAAATTAGAAAAACAGTAACCACAATGCATACATGCTGAAGTAGATTTCAGTGAACAATGCTCCTGAAAGATTTATAGAGATCTGTTTGTAAATTAAGTTAAATACTTCAAGTGTACCTACTGAAAATATTTCAAATAAACCACATATTATTCAGTATATTGAAACTGAATAAGCCAAAGATTTTAATATATGAATGGTTAAAACTGAACAAAAACAGCCTCCATCAGTAAAATAATCAAGTCATTGCTGAATTAGTATTCACACAATTGACACTTTTAGGGTTCCAGCTCCTCTGTGAATCGCCACCGTGTCGTGGAGGAGTTTGTGCGCCTGAGTGTTGAGCTGTGCAGATTTAGACAAACGATCCAGAACACTCTTATGGACAAACAACAACTCGGATGATCAATCTTTAAAAGGGTCATGGAGGTAATCAGAAGTGGATAAAGCTGATGAACTAGAAGAAAACCTGAAACTTACATGATCTTAAACGAAGGCGAACGGTTGAACCCAGAAAAAAAGCGGAAAAAATAAAATCAAAATAAAAAAAAAAAACACCCCAAAAACGAAGACCAAAGGAACCGTTTCCTTTTCTATTTTAATTTTTGAAGAAAGAAACAATCCGTTGAGTGGAGCCGGTGGTGAAGCAGGAAGTTGAGGGAGAGCAGAGGCGCTGTGACCTGATGCTGCTGTGCGCCGTGGACCGCTGCGCGCTCCGCTCCGACGCGCGTTTTAAAGGCTCCGTTACGCACAGGATGGAACAGGATGTGGATGATGAATGAACTGCGCCGAGACGCAAGCATGACACCCAGCCGCTACTCTCAGGACAAAATAAACATTTATCTCGTTTTCTTGTTTAAATAAGTTGCCACTTCAAGGTGAAACTTTTATAAACTGTTCAGTATTTTACTTTTCTGACGGTTCATTTAAAGTCTGAGGTAAAACTTGCTGTTTGTTTATATATATATATATATATATATATATATATATATATATATATATATCTGTCTAAATAAATGTTGAATGAATATAAAGGCCTGGTGACCCTTGAAGAAATGCTTATTGTCCACTGCTTATGTTTTAGTTATTTTGGTCAAACCCTGTTAATGACTTTATTTACAATTTCATACAATGTTACAAGATGTCACACACAGAGTGAATGTTAGGGACTCTCAGCTACCACCACTCCAAGCTTGAGCTCATTATCTGTAAAAAAAATGATCGAGCAGTAATTTTTGTGTTGACCAAGATGGATCAGCTGTGGCAGCCATCTTGAATTGGGTTAATTATGACTCTCTGTGAGTTTCACTGAAATCACTTCAGCGGTTCACAAGATATTTTGTTAACAGACCAACAGGGTTTACATCAATATGCCAAAGCTTTATGCAAAAAGGTTGTACAATGTATAGCGCTCAGATTTTGGGTTGGAAATGAATCACAGCAACTAAAACACCGCTATCTGTAAAATTCACAGAGTTATAGCCATTTTTGTGTAAGCTAATTAGCTGTGGTGGCCATCTTTGACTAAGCTGACTCCAAAAGATAGTGAGAATCAGATGTAAACTCATACTTTTTAAAAGTTTCAATAAAATCTATTCAGTAATTAACAAGATATTTTGCTAACAGACAGGCAAAGCTGACTCCAATAGCTAGAGGCAAAGTTATAAAACCTAATCTCATTCATTAGGTTAGTGCTCAGAGTATGTGTTGGGAATGACTCTCAGCTACTTCCACAACTAAGTTGTGCCCAATATTTGTAAAATTGGCAGAGTTAGAGCCCATTTTGTTGCTTAACTGCGGTGGCCATATTTTGGATTGACTCACAAAGTTAGGCAGTTGTAGATGTCCATCCAGTTATTACTTCCTGAAGGTTTCACTGAAATCCATCTACAGGTTTATTCAAATTATGAGAACGCTGCAGACAAAAAACAAACATAAATAAACAAACAGGCCCTATCACCTTCAGCAGCAGGTGATAATAAAGAACATTCAGTCTACTATTTTATATAAAACAAAAATAATGAGGAGTGAAACTAGCAGAACAGATTCTGAATAAACGAGAGCAGAGCATGAGCACGATCAAACAGCAGCTCTGATCCTCACTGTCATTAAAGGTAGAAACAGAATAATGTCACAAGAAACTCAATAAAAACATTGTCAGCTACTATTATAAATATCATTAAAATAAGTTGATACTCAACTTATTGTATCATTCTATTCTACTGATGAAATAGGAAAACAATGTTTAATAATAAACTTGTTTTAATTGTGTTAATGTTAATTCTGGTAACTGAGCTCTGTCAGCTCTGTGAGGATTCTTTACTCATATCCATCTATTTCTTATCAAATCTACTGCATATAATAGAAATAAAAACTACTATAGGATTAAAAACTGTATTCAAATCAGTCAAGATTTAAACAAAACCTGACTAGGAGAAAATATTCATTTTCTTTTTTTTAAAGAACCATAATTGATCATGGTCGTTTTTTGTACTGAACGGTCACAAATGTAAAAAAAAAAGTATATATTTTTAACACTGTGTCTGATTCATCCCAACAATCAGCCACTTTTATTACAGTTTGTACGTCTGTTAACGCAATCAGCTACTGTTGCAGTGACCAAAACAAAAATAAATAAATAAATACATTAAAATAAGTTGTAAACCTGAGTCAAGTGAAGTTTTTACAGTGTGCTTTTTACTATTAATTATTCCATACTGTAACAAAGCCATTCTCAGAGGAAAGAATTATAGCAACAAACAACAACAACAAAACAATATAGCTGCCAGTGGTACCAACATAAACATGTTAAGTATCATAGTTTCACATGACTACAGTATATGTTCAGTATTTTGCCACTTATAGACCAGGGCTATTCAACTAAATTGCTCAGGGGGGCACAATTACTGAAAGTCAAGAGCTCAGGGGCTGGGCATCCATCACTTATTGTCATTAATTTAGCTTGATTTACGATTTAAAATAAAGTTTTATTTAAAGATGAACCCATTGGTTGGCCAAACTGAGCACACCTGTGGGCCTGATTAGGTCCTCGGGCCACCAGTTGATTAGCCCTTTTATAGACTAACTAAACAATTTTGCTAACAACATGCTATTTTTTTCCCTGTTAATGGTTTTCTGGGCTATTTGGTCCTCTAAAATACCGAAACACTTTATTTTTTGCAAACTTTGGTGTTGTGAACCACTTTGACCATGGCTGCCTCAGAGGAGTCGACAGGGGAGAGGGCGGGCCCCAGAAACCATCTTATCAGCTGCAAACTGGTTGGTCCACTATGTGAATGTGCTGCTTGTGGGACTGAGTTTGTTGTGGCTCCTCGGACTGATGAAGTCCTTTGGATAAAGGAAGAAACGTCTCAGCAAAAAAAGAAACCAGATGACCTGAATGAACTTTGTTGGATTTTTTTTACCTGGATTACTGAACATGAATTTTGATGATACTTTATTTTTGGATAGTTTAGTTATATTTAGTCAAGACTCACACGGGGACTTTAGCTTTATGCACAAAACAATGAACTAGAAAATTCAACAAAAACAAAGGTCGGTGTCTTTTTCTTATTTTTTTTTTAAATTTGTAAGCTAAAATTCAGGTTTCACATTTGTCACTCAAACATCTGAGCAATACAATGCTCCCTTGCACTTTCAAGGATCTTGTCCCCACACAGAGACAAAAACAAAGGAGGATCCTGAAGGCTGTAATGTTCATTGCCCAGCTGTCATCACAATTATACGTAATCCTTGCTGTGACAGAAAGCAAATTCCTGCCTGTTTCATGGTACGGACAAAGAACAACAAACAGTATCTGCTTCAAAACAGGGATTTTCAGTCAGAGAACACAGCTGTGATTCCAAATCCCTCCTTCCTCTCCATTTCCTGAACCTAACCAGCCATCCTTCTCAGGCACATGTGCA